AGAAACAGGAGCTCCCTCTGCTACCGCGAAGGCTGGACTTGAACCGCTGAAGCATTGACCATTTCTGGCCGGCAACTTTCAGCGTCATTAAGCCGCTGCACCACCGCGTCCCCCATAAAGTATTTTACATAGTCAATCATTAAAGACTTGTTAATGCATTTTTCTTCAGAATACACGTGCACCCAATTCAACTAATCCTCCAGCCGGGCTCTGTGCTTTTCGATGCAAAATGTGTGGCAGGTTTGATGCTTGGCTCCCACACCTGGAGAAGTAAAGCAAGTCCTCTTTCTGCCTTTCCAAACATAGCCCCTTCCCAGCGGTCTTTGGGTCACAGCAGCCCTGAGCACAATGAAGCACCAAAGAATGTGCAGAGGTGTTTCCTTGCATGACTTTAGTAATTCTGACAACCATGCTGTCTTGTCAACCCCACACCGAAGGAGGAATAGAGTGGTTGGGAGAATGCCCTAGTTTGCAGCTTTGCCTCTGTGCCATCTGGCAGAGTATCAAAATATGCCAGGCCTTCCTGTTGCACGCAAGGTGTGTGTGCACACAGGTGTTCTTCTTCCAGACTTTTCTACTAAAAGCAGGGTTAGAGAAAAGCCAAACCCAATGCCGGAAGGAAGGCAAGGGAAATTTGATGGGGAAGAGGCTTACATTGCCACCCTCTGTCTTGAAGAAAGAGAAGGGTTAGAGCATCTCTGGAATCCAACTGCACTCTTCACTTTGTGCACTGAAAATGCTGCATTTGAATTTTGGGAATATGTAACTCCTAGAGGATATCTTAGATTATCTGCTGCTCTCTGCTGAATATATTCTATTTCTGGAGAGAGGGGAGGGGGAAGGAGGTAAGGAAATGGGCAAGATTATCCAGAAAATATCAGTATAAAGTGATAAGGAATCACCATAATACGGGGAGGGATGCTGTGTTTCTTGGCCCTGATCCCACCCCCCCACCCCGGTTCTTCTCCTTGTTGGCTGGAACTGTGGTGGTGCCTCCCCTCAGAAGAAGTTCCGGAAGGGAGCTGGACTGGGGTTGGGTTTGGGGACGGCAAGCAGGCTGACTGGGGAGAAGGCAGTGGCCATCCTGTTGGGTGACTGGCCCCTTCTCGGAATCTGGGAAGTGAACTTTGTGTAGTGGTTGTGGCCCAAAAGCTCAGGGCAATATCAACTTCCTCCAGTCAAGAGTTGTGAGGGGCTGAAGAGGCTGGACAGTTTGCAAGTATTAGTCTTGAACGGGTTCGATTCCTACTGTTAAGTTTATGATGCAGTGTAAATGATGCCAGTCCATTTTTCTTAGCAAATGAAAGCTGCATGCCAGAAAGGGGGCTTGAAAAATATCAGCGAGAGCCACCGCCAGGGGTGAATGAGCTTCCCGCTCTGTACGTGAGTGGGAAACAGGGAAGCTTTGAAGCTCCACTTTTACCTTGGAAGTCCCACACCAAGCAAGGTCAGCTCTGGAGCTGCCTTGATCAGAACAGCCGCGAACACCCCGAAGAAGAACCCTTCATCCGAGGCCAACGGGAGCCGGCAAGGCTTCGTCGGCACGGCCCTCGGGATGCTCTCCTCCGCTTGCGGCCCCTTTCCTTGGCCTCCAGAGCCTGGTCCGGTTGCTGAAAAGCCCTCCGGCTGGAACGGCAATTTACAGCATCCCAGCTGTGGATCACCAGGTCAGAAGCCTGGAATTCTTCTCCAGCAAATAGAGGACGGGGGTGGCTCACTTTCTGTGCTGCCAGGTGGCATCAAAACCGCTTGAGCCGACCTTCCCGTCATGTTTGGCGGATTGCACTTGAATCCTTCTAGAAGGATCCTTGGTCCAAATCAGGCATCATCGTGTGTGGGGGTTTACTGCATCTTGTCCTTTAAGAAGATGCCAGGTGACTCTGCTGTCACAGCTGGTTTGTCTCTTGTCATTTTGCCAGGAGGCTGTAATACAGAGCCCAGGCTGGAAAAGTTCCAGCAAGGGGACCGCGTTCAGACAATCACACTTGTGGTGTAGTGCCCGGTTTGAATCTTGGACTAGCATGCCGCCCTTTTCTGGTCATAAAAATCTGAAGCCCGTGTCAAGAGTAACTGGTAGCATTTTCAGCATTTTGTTGAGCTGGAAAAGTTTCACCTGCAGTACAGTTCACATTACGGCAGATTATCTGGATCGGGGAATCTTTACGTGTGCACAGCATTGCACTTGTTTGCTAAAGAGGTATTTCCTGGCTTGTTGCATCTTGCTCTGCAGACCCGGCACACCCGTTTGGTGCACCTGCACCTTTCTCCGGTGTTTTCACTGCTGCAGGAAGTGATTATGGCCGTGTGGTTTCAAGCGGGTCTGGCCCAGCGGGATTCCCATTGCTGCCTTCACTTGCCAGGCAAAAAGAATCCCCTGCATTTCTCTACCGGTTGCTGTTCAACTTCATGAAAGCAAACTTGATTTGAAATGTCTTTCAAAGGAACAGGAAGGTCAGAGAAATTCTTATGGGTTAAGTGGTGATCTTGCTCTTACTAATGACAAGAGGGAGAAGAGACGGGCACAAGCGGGCTCTCCTTCTCGTGCAGTCATTTCCTAACAGGCTGTAGCCTCTACAGCTTCCACTAAGCCCCCAAGAAAGACATCAGGATGGAGCTCCCCCACCCCCAGCCCTGGCATCCGTTTCAGTGCAGTAGTGAGGCTTCCTTGCCCTTGAGAAATGGTTGGAGAGTTTTTTGTTCCCCTGGAGAAGTTCAGAAAAATTGTCCAATTTCTTTATGCTTTTTCAATTTTGAAAGGCCCTTGCTGTCCGGCTCCAGGTCACAAAGGAGTGGCCAGCTTGCCCCACCAGATAAAGGAGGAAAGACAGCCTGGCGCTCAGTGCCCGGAGTCCTGTGTGATCCGCAAGCAGCAGAAGCTGCAGCACAGGCCGAAACTCTCTGGGTGCCCCGTGGATGGGAAGCAAAGGAGAACTGGGTACCGGAGTGTGATAGAAGCGTAACGCAGCCTTTCTTTGTGTTCTGGAAAGCAAGAGATGCCGTGCATGTCCAGCATTGCATGTGTCTGGCAGAGCTCTGCAAGTAATTGCGTTGCCATCCCATTCTCCTCCTCCAATTACTTGCGGAGGCCAGCTGAGAGTCTTCCAGCTTCCCAGCAAAGGGACCCTGGGGTTGCCCCCGCTGCCGTAGGAGCCATAAGTATTTCGCATTGATTCTTTTTGTTTCTCTCATTTTGCTCATGTTGAATGACTTGCCTGATGCCCTGATTGCAGAGCCGGGTTGGGGTTGGTGAGGCTGCAAGGGGGACATAGCAAGCTGCATCCAACTTCTGCATTTTAGGTTTTTTTCTTTGCTCCTTTTGCCACCTACCATGAGTTCTTTTTTTCCCCTTTCATAGTGTGGACGCAATGCTGAAAACTTCGACCGGTTTTTCACTCGCCACCCACCTGTCTTAACACCACCTGACCAGGAAGTCATCAGGAACATTGATCAATCAGAATTTGAAGGCTTTTCCTTTCTTAACTCTGAGTTTTTTAAGCCTGAAGTCAAGAGCTAAGTAGACCATCCTCCCCCTCCCCCCCACCTCTTGCACACCCATGACCATTTCCATTGGGTCCCAGCTGCTGTTGTGGTGGCATCCTCTGTTGCAACCATTAGCTGTCATGCTTTGGATATTCTTTTTCTTTTGTGGTGATACTGGAATGACCATCCTTCAAAGACCTGAGCTGTAACTGAGTATCGTTGCATCAGTGGCACAGAGGGGAGAAAGAACAACTGAAGTGTTATGGCTGTGAGTCTAAAGATGAGGTCCTCTTGGAGGTCCAGCCACACTGGGCAGGAGGCAAGATTTGGAAAGACCAATTTCCTTTAAAGTTAATCTAGTGAAACACCTCTGGATTTTGAGCACCTGTTGATGGTACTCTACTCCTCTCCTCCCCTCCCAGTTTCTTCCCAAGGAAGCGGTTTGCAAAAGGAGTGGATGTGTACTTGATTTCCAAGTTGGAACTTTTCTCAGCTTCTTTATCACTTGTGGAATCTTCTCTCACATGTTTAGAGGAGGCTGCCTCCTTATCTTCTTGCAACTTTGAGGTGAAACCGATCTGTACAGAGAGACAACTCTCAGTTATTTCCATGGCATCTGCAAAAGTTACCATGACCTAGAACTGGCTGCCAGAGGGTTTTGTGTACAACCTGCTTTTGGTCCTAAAACCTCAGTCAATCAATGAGGCCTATCAATAGATGTTCATACTCAAGGGTGTTTAACATTCTTATCCCAGGAATCCTAGGGGATTGAGATGGGGGGCTAGGATAGTCTCAAGATCCTTTGAAAGAAGTCATGCCAGTTAAATGGGGTGAGTGAGGCAGAAGGAGGAATCCCCTCGCCCCATGTGGGCTATGTTTGAAGTTACTCAGCCCCACATATAGGTCCACCTTAAATTATGCCATTGCCATTTCTAGTGTTTTTCTTAACTATTGCATTTATTTGTATTAATAAAGTCACATATAAGAGAAGTCCTGGAATTGGATCCAACCAGGGGTTCATTTGGCTTCCCCAAGGCCAAAAGAAAACCATAAGCAGGACATGGAGACAAACGCTTTCTGGTCTCGCCCAGCAATGCCGATGACATATTTGTAGATGGCTGAGAAGGTTTCCTGGGTGAAACCTTGGATGGCTCCCAGCATGAAGGGGAGTGGGTCCTAAGGGTCTAGCATGGAAGAAAACAGCCTCCTCCTGAGGAACAAATTTACTCCCTGACCTGTCCAATCCAGGTCAGAGAAAAATGGGCACCTGAAAGGATGGAGAACCGCTGACCTGACACAGTAGAAGTTCTGAAGAGTGGGAAAAAGTGAAACAAAGGCTTTGTGGGGAAATGGTTGCAGGTTCCAGCCCAGCATCTCTGGGGAGGGTAAGGGAAGGCTCCAGGGAGGTCCTCTGGAGCCAGTCAGTGTCAAGGGCCCTGATTTGGCTTTCAGGGTTAGGAGAAGGAGAAGCGCCTCCCACTTGAGGGGATTGCCTCTTGGGAATACTGAGCCTGGACAATTGTGTAATTTTGGTTTTTTATCCCAGGTTACCCTGCCCTGATAGCGGGCACATTTCAGCATAGCTTTACCACATGGTCTCAGGGGGCATCAGCCTGGCCATCAGAATTCCCTTCGAATATTTTGGAGTCAGTGGTCAGCCTTGTATCTAACATTCCATGTCACAGTTTTTACATTTAATTCTAACAACCCTGTGTGGGTTCCTTTGCAAGTATTTTGGGGGGCAAGGGTTGGGTGCCGTTTGTCCAGCTGCCAAATCAACAAATTCCATATGTCCCACTGTGCTTTACCTGTGTCAAAAATTTAGTATTTTACTAAAATTAAGCTGATATTTAAAATCCAAAAAGTACATGTGTAACTTGACTGAAGCTGTAAAGTATTTTTGTCTTGACTAATATTCTTCTGAGAATAAGAAATATTTTCTGCTGGAATTTGAAGTTGTCTGTGTTTTTGGTAAAAGAAAGAAAGAAGAAAGAGAGAGAGAGAAAGAGAAAGAGAAAGAGAAAGGAAAGAAGAAAAAGAAAAGAAAGAGAAAGGAAGAAAGAAAGAGAGAGAGAGAGAGAAAGAAGAAAGAAAGAAAAAGAAAGAAAGAAAGAAAGAGAGAGAGAGAGAGAGAGAGAGAGAAAGAAGAAAGAAAGAAAGAAAAAAAGAAAAAGAAAGAAAGAAAGAAAGAAAGAAAGAAAGAAAGAAAGAAA